CCAGAGTTCAAGTCCCATGACCAACAAAACAGGAAAAAGAAAAGTGAGGAAAAAAGGTAGGTTGAAGTGGGATGAGAAGGTTAAAGGGGGTGACACCGATCAAGATGTATTCATAAACTGCTTTGTTAAATGGCATCTCCTCTGTACTACTTAAAAGATAATTTAAAAAAAATTAATGTCTCAGGAACAACAAAAACCTGCTAACGTTTTGACTTTCCCAGTGAGGGCAATGTTGAAACGTAAGCACTATTTACTGTCACTATCCATTGCCAAACAGTAGGACATCTTGACACTACAGTTGAAAGAAGGATGGAATCATAGCATACAGCACAGTCCTTTTTTAAGGAAAGTCGCTTGGTCATTCTCCACATGAGACTTGACTGCTAAATCGACTTCCATGTCTTAGCAACTTTCCTTCCATCTGTGTGGTAGGACCTGCAGCAGAACACGAAGTCAACTGTATGATTTCTGATACAGTTTGTTCTGTGACATAGAACTTACTACTTTTTTTTTTCATTGACCTGCAAAATAAAACTAAAGAAACATTTGGACACCTCTCTGCTTCCTGATTCGATTGGCTGCCATGAGCACCTAGGAGCAAGCAGTACAGTGCCAACCTCCTCCCTCCACAGGACATGTGAGCTGCACTACAGGTGTCAAAGGTGCTATGCAGCATTCCCATGACAAGGAAAATGCATCCACAAGAAGGAAGGTGGTGATGATGTGCAAGCCCTCTCCAGGGACACAGGGACACACACACACACACACACACAACATGACAGCGTTGAGGGGCATGAAATGCCCAGAGCCAGCCCCAGGGATTGCCTGGCTCAATCCCTTATGAGTGTTGACCATCTTCTCACTAAGTCACAAAGAGCCACTCCATCCTTCAAGTGGACATGTGGCGCCCTGGTGAATAGTCATTATAATAGATTGTACCATTACTCCAAACCATTGACAACCTGGTAGACTCTGGCTGATGAAATGTGAGCAAAAGTGTCAGGTGTCACTTCCATACAGAAGTTTTAGGGCCATCTTGTGGTTCTACAAATTTTCACCAAGTCTGATAGACGAGGCTCCTCCTCGGTCTGAGGTCCAGATTAACTTCCACAGCTATCCCCCACCCCCAAGGGGCATTTGAAGAGTGAAGGCCATTGAGCCTTTGGGTATGCTTGTTACTGAGCCTAACCTGCACATGATGACCTGCACAGTGAAGATGCTAGGACACAGGGTCCAGCCCCTGTTGAACATCTAGCCAACAGAGAAGACACGCAAATCTCTTACATGTGGCTCTGGATTTTCAGATTGTTCCTAGTCTCTGAGGAGATGCACCCACCTCCCAGGGCCCCATTTGAAGAAGAAAGGGCTATTCTTTGGAATTAGTAAGTCTAGGATCTAATTCCAACTCTCACCCTTCACTTTTGCCCTCAGTCATTCCTCCCATGGCACCAACTGTGGTGGGCACTAAGGAAAACAGATAAGGTCCTTAGCCTCCTGTGCCTACTACATTCAGGCGAGAGAAAAGACAGACGCCAATGGAAAGAGCAATTTTAAGGAAGTGAAAAGGTTTGATTGAGAGGAACTGAGAAAAGCTGCTTTAGGTGAGGAGTTCTCTGAGGAGAGGATATTCCAAGTGGAGAAAGCAAATATATCAACCATGCAAATAGCTTGAGGGAGATAGCAAAGGGGGAGCAGAGTCATCACAAGGGCAAGGGGTCTGTGACAAGAACTGATGACTTATCTGAGGAGCAGAAAGAAGGCTCTGGGGCAAGGTGGGCAGAAAAGGAATGCTAGGATGAAGTTGGGGTGGGGTGTAGGCCTTGTTACCTAGCGGGGCTGCAGGATGGAGTTTACAGTCCACTGCATGTATAAAAGAATGCAGAGCACTGGGTGCCAGCGGCTCAAAATCATCATCTTAGTTACTCAGGAGACTGAAAATGGAGGATCACAGCTCAAAGCCCACCAGGGAAGGAAAATCTGTGAGACCCTTATCTCCAATTGACTGCCAGAAAGCCAGATGTGAAGGTGTTTCTCAAGTGGTAGAGTGTTAGCCTTTAACAACAACAAAAAAAGCTCAGAGACAGCGCCAAGTCCTTGAGTTCAAGCCCCAGGACCATAGTTGCACACAAACAAAAGGAAAACAGAGGAAGCAGGGAAGAGACAGGATCTGGTTAAGGTGAAAATCATCTTAGGATGCTGTGGAGAATACACCATTTCAGAGCCAGAATAGAAGGGAGACAAGAAGGCAGCCCTCTGCTGCCTGGTGGCTGACCCTTTTTTTTTTTTGGTCAGTCGTGGGGCTTGAACTCTGGGTCTGGGCGCTGTCTCTCAGCTCTTCAGCTCAAGGTGAATGCTCTACCACTTGAGCCACAGCACCACTTCTGGTTTTCTGTTGGTTTATTAGAGGTAAGAATCTCATGAAGTTTCCTGCCCAGGCTGGCTTTGAACCGCAATCCTCACATCTCAGCCTCCTAAGTAGCTACGATTACAGGCATGAGCCACCGATGCCCAGCTTGGTGGCTCACCTTTGTGGGCTTTGACAGTTGTGGGGACCCTAGAGCCCCATGAGAGCAATGTGTGGGTGTAGCTGTGTGAAGGATGATTGGATGGTGTGTGTAGAGAAAGCCTGAAGCCAGCGGATGACTGCTGCTGCATGTTAGCTCTGTTGCATGCTTCAGAGAAAAACAACTGAGACACAGGATTCAGAATGCTCACCATTACACAGTGATCCCATCCAGAGACAGGATGAGTGTTTCCTCTTTTGTGTGCCCTAAATGTCTACTGCCTCCAGACCTCCAGTTATCTACCTCCTGGAAGGTGCCCTTTGTTCTGTAAACCCAAACTACACCAGGCTAATGTGTACTGTATTCTCTTACCAGTTAAAAACTGAGGACAAACCTGGGCGCTGGTGGCTCATGCCTATAATCCTAGCTACTCAGGAGGCTGAGATCTGAGGATCTCAGTTCAAAGCCAGCCCAGGCAGGGAAGTCTGTGAGACTCTTATCTCAAATAAACTACTCAGAAAAAGCTGGAAGTGGAGCTGTGGCTCAAGTGGTAGAGCGCTAGCCTTAAGCACAGAGTTCCAGGACAGCACCCAGGCCCTGAGTTCAAGCCCCAAGACTGGAAAAGAAAAAAAAAAAGAGGACTCGCCCTCTTGGTGGCTCACACCTGTAATCCTAGCAACTCAGGAGGCTAAAATCTGAGGAAAGTCTGTGAGACTCTTATCTCCAACAAACCACCAGAAAACCAGAAGTAGTGCTGTGGCTCAAAGTGGTAGAGCACTAGCCTTGAGCAAAAAAAGTTCAGTGCCCAGGCCCTGAGTTTAAGCCCCTATGACCAACCAAACAAAAAAAAAAAAAAAGAACTGAGTAATCTCAGGTGCTCACTGAGTCTGTCCCCTGGGCTCTCTCCTGCTTTTCTTGACCAGGCATATATGTCTAGACTAATCCTTTTCAATCTCACTGCATCCATTGGACAAAATTTGTCACCTGGACCAACAGTGCCACCACCTTTGTGCCCTCTGGCAGTGCTACCTATGCCTAAATTGCCCCATTTGTGAGCTTGTTGCCTGTACATCACAGCCCATGTGCTCTTCGGGCTCCTAGAGGTGAGGGTGAAGTACAGGTGACCTTGCCCTGTCTTTTATGCCTCCTTCTGTGCACCATTAAGGCCTTCACTGAAACCACAGCCATGCCCAGAGCTTACCTACTACATCTTCCCTCTGCCAACCATCTACTAACCAAGATACCAGCTCTCTGGGGCCAGCAATGGCTCTGGGATTGTCTTTCCATCTAGATAGAAGGGGGAAAATATGCAGAGGCTAGCCAGGAAGTAGCAAAGCAGTTCTTGTCACCAGGACAAATGCAGGAGAAATACAGGCAAAGGTAGAAACTAGCCAAGCTTCCAAGAGACTGGTAGGTGGGACAGAGAGACAAGTAAAGTCAGATGGATGATCACTGTGGCAGATCAGATCATTCTAGAAGTTTCCAGGCAAAGCTGAGCTCAGTGCTGGTTAGGGAGTAAAGGCTCAGGAACAAAGCCAAGATAAAGCTTCTTCTAAAAAGCTGGCAAGTTGAGAGAGCACAAGGAACAGAGAGGAGCCAATGCAAGTGAAGCCATCCTGGATCCGCCAGTCCTCACCGACCTGCCAGCTGCCCAGAGACCCAGGAGCAAGCTTCGTCAAAACCATCTGCCTCACTAGAAGCACTGCCCTGTTGACTCTGAAATTCATGAATAAATAATAAATGCTTCTTTGTTTTTAAGCTATTGACTTTCAGGGTGATTTGTCAACCAGCAAGAGCTAGGGGATGCAGACAGGGGACTGGTGTCTGGCGAGCCATCCCGATTTTTCTACAGCAGTTTCTGCTGAAGTCACAGCCCTGTGTCTCTGCTGAAGGCCATTGGTGTGTTCAGATCTGGACTGGGGCCATGACCTTGAGATATATTCTTGAACTTGATTTTACAAGTCACTTGGTAACTTATGAACACTTCCTCTCCTTGTGAAGCCTCAGTTTCTACATCTTCAAAAGGGAACGAGATGACAACCAATGAGCCACCTAGCTCTAAGACTCTGTTTGGATGACTGTGGCCTATTTATTCAGCTGTCACTCCTCAACAAGATTTGTTTCAGAATTTGAGTGTGTGGAGCTATGGCTAGACCCCAGGCTACAAACTCAGATAGCAATAGGTGAGCCCTTCTGGCCAGCAGCTCAGAGTCCATGGAGAGCTGCCTGTCCCTTAAGCAGAAGGAGGGCTCCTCGGTGGAGCCTGGATGGCCATGGGGGCCGTAAGATGGAAATGAGCAGGACCGGCGTTCACCTCTCCATCAAGCAGATAGGGTGCATGTCTTACATCCTGGGGGCCTCCAGCAAGAAGCTATTGGAAGCAGAACTGAGGCAGTGCAGCCAGAGCCTAAGTTCTCCATTCCTCCTCCTCCCCCCCCCAGAGGGAAGCAGAGGAGTAGACACCACCTGTTACCAGGCCCAAAAGAGTGGTCCTACCATGGAACCAGGGGGCGATGGATTTGGTGTTCCTCTCGAAGCCAGCCTGTCGAGGCAGCTGCTCCTCCTTAAACCAACGGACGATGACTTCTCTGGAGAGTGGGCGCAGTGGGCGCTCCCACGTCCTGCTGAGGCCAGGGACGAAGACAGGAGGGAGAAGGAGGCGGCGGAGAAAGAGAGGGATGGGAAAGGGTGAGAGAGAAGTGGAAGGAAGAAGGAGAAAGAAAACAGAAGGGAGAAAGAAAGCAGAAGGGAGAAGGAAAGGAGAAGGGAGAAAGAAAGAAGGAGTAAGAGAGGGAAGGGAAGGGGTAAGGGAGAAGAAGAGGGAGGGAGATGAATAGAGAGTGGGAGGGAGAAAAAAAAGAGAAGGTCACTGAGTATATGCATGACACCCATGCTTGTGCCTATAAAGAAAACCCCAAATGCCTTGGTACTTGAAAAAGTCCCATTTGCACCTTATAATGCAAAAGCTATTATTTTCCCCAAAAAAATCAAAGTGTTATCCCATGTTTCAGAGAACCACACAGGATGGAGTGACACAAGGATGTGAAGATGTAAATGAGAAAGAATGATGCTTTCCAGGGTAGGGATGCATGCGTTCTCGGGGGACTACCTCTCTCCCCTCCCCCTGCTCCACCAACAACAACTGAAGAGTTTTGATTTGTGGCCTTCTCGAGGGATCCTATTGGCAACTAGAGCCCACACTTTTTGAAGGCAAACACAGAAGAGCAAATAGAGAGAGAAATCAGACAGCTTGCTCTGGAAAAATGGCTAAAAGAGGAAAGCAAATAGGAATGAAACAAAACCAGCCATTGTCTGGCCATGGACAGGGTATCGGTGAGGGGGTTGGGGGAGGGTGAGCCTGGGAAGAATCTAAGGACAGTGGACCGGACACTTGAGATGCTTTCTCACAGGTGAGCTACGATTTTGTTGCATCTATGTCAGAACTACAGTTTGTTGTTGTTTTCATGTTTGTTTGTTTGCAGAATTAGGGGTTGACCTCAGGGTCTCCTGCTTGCTATGCAAGTACTCAGTTACCAAGGACTTGAGCCAAGTCCTAGACCATTTCTGACTTTAGTTATGTGTCAGGTAGAGTCTCATGCTCCCCCCCCCACCACCTCCAGGCTGGCCTCTGACCCTGTCTTCCTATCTATGCCTCCCATTAGCTGGTATGACAAGTATGCACCACCACATCCAGCTAGAATTGCAGTTCTTAAGTGCACACAGAGACTGGACCATTTTAGACCCTGGTCACATTTGAGTTAGTCTACAATGGAGCCACGAAGAGCTAGAGAGCGCATGACACACAACAGGCTCCAATAATGTGTGGAGTCAGTGTAGCAGGACCACACCGCATATAACATGGTGAAAATACTTCTGATAAAACAAGGCTTTAAGCCCACCTGGAACAACCTTGGCCTCTCTGTTTTCCAGCTGAGCCTGGTACATTCCTGTTTTGTCATTGCTACCCACCTAACAGTATTGGCATTCACAAGTCACTACTGTGACTTTAAGCATAACATAGACTCTAACTCCCCATCTGGTATTCTGGATATCGGCCCTGAACCAACATATTGGCATGGAACTCAGCCTCACAACGGATCCACTTATACTCACCTGCGTGCACACACACACAAGAACAATAGTAAACACGGAAGATGACAGAAAAAATGCTGGAAGAAAAGTAGAGGGCCAGGCTACACTGCACTACTTAAAGCCACTGTGCCAGCCTGATTCTCACGACACCCAAGGCAGACTACTTAAAAAAAAAGTTTAATTTTTACAGTTTCAGAAGCTGAAAGTCTAAAAGCAGGCGGCCCTATGGCTTCTGTCTCTGGTAAAACCTAAGGACCAGTAATACCAGGGCAAGAGCAAGTTCACCAGCAACAGATCACCTTGCAAAAAATGGCACCAGAATACAATGCAGGGGTCAGGATAGGGAAGTTATAAACTCACTGCACTGAGAACTAGCTCAGAACTGTCCATATAGATTACCTGAGTCCCTTCCCCTGTCAGGCCTCCCCCTGCCACCCCCCTTAGGAACCTAAGGATCCTACTTGATGCCACCTGAACATCGTCACACCGGGATCCAAGCCCCCACTACATGAATCTTGAGGGAGGGACAGACTCAAACCACATCCAGACATAGCAGCCATCATCCTCAAGTGTGTTCTTCAAACCCAGCACCTTTTAGTCCCCTCTCTAGGCTTTGCTCCACTCCCTACAACCTTCCAGCTGCCTTGCTGTCCATCTTCCTGAGGATACACACACACACACACACACATCTTCCTTTCAGTCTCTGTAATTTCTGTCTGTCTGTCTCTCTGTCTCTCTCTGTGTCTCTCTGTAGCTATCTGTCTGTGTCTCTCTGTCTCTGTCTCTCTCTGTCTCTCTCTGTGTCTGTCTGTGTATCTCTCTGTCTCTCTGTGTATCTCTCTCTGTCTCTGTGTCTCTCTCTTTGTCTCTGTGTCTCTCTGTGTATCTCTCTGTTTCTGTCGCT